ACAAAGGAGGGGGACTGTGAAGAAAACAGACAGCAGCGTGGAGTTCAGATTGGCGCGTTCGTGCACCTTCAGGTGCACACAGCTCTGCGCAGACACACGTGTGCACAAAGTGTTCTGCCGAAAAAACATATGTCTGGTTAAAAGTTCTAGTTGCACGAGCAATCATGTGGACTTACATTTAGCATGTGGGGTTATTTAAAGAAAAAACTCAATATCTATGAAGTTACATTGTGCGTAAAAACAGAATAGGCTACAATGATTGGCGATCCCTTTTGAATTGAAGCCTTTTTGGCAATGCTTGATTTCTAAATTCCTAAAATGGACTTTTCATCTCAACAACACTCAATAAGCCTTCAAAACACCAACAAACACTAGTTTTTCCCATTCTTGCTTCAGTTGGCCCATCGACTTTGTCACATTTTACACACCGTAATTGCTATGTATTTTCAGTGGGACACAGCTCTGGACTGCAAGCAGGCAGGTCAAGTACATGCAACATTTTATAACAAAGCGACATTGATGACATGCAGGATATGGTCCTGACATTGTCTAGCTACAATAGACAGGGACTTTGCCGAAATAATATTGCTTTGATATAGCAAAGTCTCCCATAACCTGTAGGAACCTTTCAGCATTAGTGGTGCCGTCATGGATGCCATTGGTTCTAACACAATTTCAGTACATATGCACATCTGTAACTTCGAAAACCCGTTTGAAATATGGACTCATCAGATGAGTCAACATACAAACTGTGTCAACTGCAAATGGTTTTCCATATTGTTCCTTACCCCACGTAGTGATATCACTTACAGAATTAAGTCAGTTTTTGATGTAATGCTACATGATTGATGGTTGTTGGCTACGGACTTATAATGTACCAACTTAACAAAATTGGGGTTTCTACATTTTACTAAAATGTTAAAGAGTTGTTAAAAAAAGAATAATCTTTTTTTTCCCAGATTCGAGTGTCACTGATTGCCACACTTAAGTGTCACTCAAACACTGTGATGATGATCTGAGCATCTCTTACTGCTTTCTTTGCTCTGTAGGCATGTCATGTAATCAGGATGCCCATGCTTGTTTTTTTTTTCCTCTTTGACTGCGGGTACTCCTGCCCTGGTGTTTCTGTCTTTTTGTCATTGTCCTAATACATGAGGAAAATGTGATACAAGAAGTAAAATACAAACTAAAATTAATAGAAGTCAAGGCCAAACACAAGAAAGATACTCATCTATTACATTGTGCTGCTCAGCGCAGGACAGGAATAGCTTCTCTGGCCCATAAAGCGCGCACAGATCACCAGTCAAGCCTCTTTATCTCACAGCTGTCGACTTGTTTTTGTGAAAGTGACATGTGTCGCACAGCAATTTCCTGTTTTCTAGTGTTCCAAAAGGGTTCACGAGCTGCAATTTTGTAGCATTTGTTTCCCCTTTGTTCCAACCACACTCATAAACAAGTGACCTATTTATTCCAGTTCATAAATAATTTCATTCGGACATGGGATCCAACAGGCTCTGAAGCGGCATGTTTGTCCAAATGTTCAAAATGTCTTTTTCTATTTTTCCTCTCCTCCCAATGAGTAAAGGAATATTTTCAAAAGTGGTGTTGCACCAGTTCTGCTGATCAATTATATTTATTTTTTTGTACCGCAAATCTAGAAACCTTTAGACTCTCTAGCAAGTACATTTATAGTTTTTTTAAAGTGTTAAAGGGTATTCACACTCATGATATTTGTGAGAGGGATATATTCGAATGATATAAGTATTGTCATAATTTATATCATCTACACTTAAGTTTAAGAAAGTGGTGTTAGGAGTTCTGGAACCACCACAAGTAGTGTAAAAATACATCAAGATATCCAGCAAAAAGGCTTATAATGGAGAAATTGCAATGTTTCCACTCATAAATGTTACAAATGACAAAAATGTGTGTGATACTTTGATGTTTATGGAATCAAACCAGTCATAATCCAATGCAAGAAAATAAGACACTGAATTGATTGAAGTTGCATTACATTTACAGGTTTTGTTTCATTGCCTATACTTTTAGAAGTTTACAAATGACTGTGTACATAGCATGCAGACACTGCGATTTCATACAGTCAGCCTGAGGAGGAATTACACCACTGGAATATTTTTTCCAGCCTGATTGTCTGTTTTGTCTCCTTCTACCCTCTGTACATAATTGTGAAGCCTTTTAGCCAGGGGTTGTGTACAAATGCTTGCTGTACACACTACAACACATACACACTACCAGAAACATCTCTCTCTTCTGCGAGTATGTCTGGCCAGCAGCAAACTGGTAACTGATGAATCATGTTTAGCCAAACATCACAGAGACAGAAATAAAGCTCTCACTACTTTTAAAAACATATCTCAAACTATCCAGTAAAACAAAAAAAATAGACTATCGTAGAGATTTTCCCGATGACTTCCCATTGCACACTACCTGTGTGCCTGCCTTATGTTTTGTTTTTGTTTTTTTCATATGCATCCATCCATTTTCAATACCAGCTTAATCCAGTTTAGGCCTGCAGAGGAGATGGAGCCCATTCCAACTGTCAAATAACAAGAGGTGTCCCATTCCATCACAGGGATACACAGAGACAAACATGCTCACTATTTGGAGCAATTTCAAGCACCAATTAACCTATCGAACATGTTTCGGTCTAGTTGGAGGAAGCCAGAAAAATATATTTCTTTGTACAAAACTAGAGAGGTAAATTCATCTAGTGGTGCAGAAAAACAGTGATATGTTTGTTTGAATGCACCATAGGTAGGTACATAAATCCAGTGTACATGGCAGGCTGTTATCTATGTTTAATAAATGAGAAATGTTCCGTTAATGCACTCGCTGTTGCAGAATTTGCGTCGCCCCCCCCCCCCCGACACACACACTCCCTCCTCCTTCTCTTTCCCCTGTTTTTTCTCCATACCCCATGGTATTTTTGTGCAGTAAACCTGGCATACATAAAACAAATCTAGCGTACATAATTGTTGACAACAGAATCTGCACTCCACTGTTATTTTCAGGTTGTATGTGAACAGAACAAAACAAAGAAGGTTAGGAGCGAAGATAACAGGCGTGTTGTTCTCATCTGTGATGGTTCTCTGTGAGAAACGTCAAAACTGAATATTTCAGTGTTGCATTTGTATGTTTTTAAAGACTGAACCACCCCCTTTCCCATGATTCCAAATGAAATGTTTGCTCATGCTTGTGGGGTGTAAATGTGTGAAGGTGTTTGATAGAATGGGGTCAGATGAGTTTTAGGTTTGGTTTGAGTTGGTATTGTTGATGTGTGAAAGACACAAAGGTGTGAATGTGCAGTTGTGTCTGTGTTTTAGTCAAGAGGTATGTGCGTGCATCAGCTTTTATGAGTTATTCAGAACTAGGTATACATGTTTTCAACCTGAAATGTTATGAAACGCTCAATCAAGATTACCTGAGAAGTTTTTTTTGTTTGGTTTTGTCATATTCATGCTGATCTCGCCTGTTGGGTGAAGTGCACCTTTGTCCTCTTAAAATAGCTCTTTGCTTGTTGCCCCACTGCCAGTTTTTCATTTGTCTCCATGATGTCAGCCAAAGGTCAGACGTTTCAAACACACTTTGGGGTTTACTAAGGAAAAGGTCATATATGAAGAAAAAAAGATTCAAGAAGTTTGAAAAACACAAGCAAAACGGCAGCCATGCAAATAAGAGTTAGCACATTATGTGGGTGGATGAAAACATCTCCAACATCTTCAAAGGTCTCACACACTTACACACACAACGTTCCCCCGCACATCTAAGCATGAACTTAAAAATTGCTTAGGTTCAAAAGTAGTTTGAATTATGAATGATTTTGGTCCTCTTGAACTTTTGGCTATTGTCTTAGTGACTTAATGTACGCTCCCCACCTCAGCTTTTGTGTGTTCATCTTCATGTGGCTGCATCAGCATTTGTGCAAGCATGTAAATATTACATCACACAAAGAAATTCAAATGAAGGCCAGCACACCTTCTTGAAGGGGGAGACTTGATGATGCACTTTACACAAAAAAGTCATCAAAATGACTTCTTCTGAGACTTGCTTTGAATTTTTTGAAACCTCAGACTTTCATTCTCTTGGGTCATAAAACATTTCATAAGATGTTCATTTTCCCTGGTCCTAAAAGCACAATACAAGCTGTAGTTTAGATAATATCTTTAATTCAGTCTCTCCTTCCCTGATATTAATAATTTGCTACATAATGTTCTCAGGCAGAAGTCTATGTATTTCTGTGCATAAATTTAACAATCTTCTTCTACTCACTTTGCTGACCTAAGTTGTATTTTTATTCCCTTTCATGTCACATGCTGAGTTCAGCTCAATGCTAGCAGAATGATTGCTCCAGGATTCAGCTTTGGCCATCACCCCACCCAGTGGAGGTAATGCTTAATTACACAAAATTATTCATATTCTATTTTATTTGTAATGATGAAGCTAGCTCTCAAACTGGATATCAAAATACGAAAAATTCAAGAAACGGTTTCAGTAAGATTGAGCATGTTAAAAGTGAGAGATAAAGACATAAAATGCTGTTATTAAAAAATATATTTTAAATACCATTGGTCATCTTAAAATGCAACCAGTGGAGCTCTGTCTGCAATCAGATTTAAACTCTGTTTACAAACACCAACCCATGTGTAGTTCCACTGAATGAAGGGTTTGATAAAAGTTAGTATGTCTTGCAGGACCTGATCCAGAGAGGTAAATCATAAAATACGGACTCCCTAGAGCCAAGAGCTCAGGACTCATTTCTTCATACAGTGCCACCTTTATGCTCTGTCTCAAATCCTGATGCAAGCCTTTTAGGGAGCACCATGGTGTCTGTTTTTTTTTTACGTGTGTGCTTGTGTGCATCCGGATGTCCTGGTGGAGCTGCCCAGCCTGATGATTGGGTTCATTCATTCCTGTCTGGTAGCTGGTAAAAGTCTTGAGAAAGAAACTTTTGTTCACTTTAACGTTCGTACGAGAGATTCTGAGTCCTGAAGACATTCTGCTCAGTGCTCAAACCACAGGTAAAATAACTCTGGGACTTGCTCGCTTTCTGCACATCTTTCTGCACATCTTTCTGCAAATTTTTCTGCAAATCTTTCTGCACACCTGAAAAGAAGATCTTGTGTTTCATCAGATTTATTAACTGTATCTGAAATTTAACAGACATGAAGTTTGTGATTCTGTTGGCCGTTATGAGTGGTAAGTCATGTTCTGTGTTTCAGCATCTTGTCATATTTAAAAGCTCAAAAGCTGCATAGAAATGCAATTGAATTATCAGAAGGCACACCGTCTGCTTTGGACATATTTAAATTTATTCATCGTCTACATTTTCAGGAGATGATCAAATTTGTAGTTACTATTCCGTTTTTTACTTTGCCTGTTTTAAATAAATCTTTGTTTCTACATTTTCTTTTCTGCGATATTTTAAATGGTACAGATTAAATCATTTTATCATTTTATCATTGGTGTTGGACGTGTTGTCCAGTATTTTTCTATTTTTTGGAAAAACCAAGTCTGTACTCTTGCCATCAGGGGTTTTTGCTGCTCCTTTCCTGAAGGAAGATTCAGCAAAGCAGTTCATCAGGCTGAAAAGGCAGGCAGATCCCTGGGATCCGCACCACTCTCAGAACCAGTGGGGCTACACATATCAGGAACTGGTAACTTTAGATATATAGAATAAGTCTTATGGTGTCACACAGCGAGAGCAAACAAGGCTTTTGTATTTTCTCTTCAGGTAAATGAGCAGTGGACAGCCCTTCGAACAAATGCTCAGTACTACATGGACATGGGTAACCTGATGTTTGATCGCTCAGTGGCTGAGTGAGTTACCCAAAGTCTGGGACATTCACTTCATTATTTTTATAATTTAGGCTTGCTTAAGTTATCAAGCAGGTTGAGAACTTATTAATTACATATATTTCTAATGTGTTTTCATAGAAAAAAAAATCTTTAATGATTTATTTTAACTGGAAGTTGCTTTTGTAAATGTTTACCACAAGATTACATCTCTCTTTTTGTCTCCTTTTGTCTGGTCATGTTACAGTGATAACACCAGGCTTTATATGGAGATGCTGCGCAATACACAAGCTCACCTGGACAGCCAGACACGTAGACAAAGATAGAAAACAAAGAGGAAGGAGACACGGCCTCTCAATGTGGACAGAAGAAATGTTTATTCTTAAGAAGAGCTAAACTCCAGAAAGATTTCAAGAATGACAAGAAATGTCTTTCACCACAGGGTGGCGCTATCAGCTGTTCATATTTATTAACCATTTATCTTTTGCATTTGTTTCACAATCTGCTTGTGGAAAGGAAACGTGAATGGAACAAAATGGCTAATGGAACAATGGCATGAATCAGAAGAATTAAAGTCTTTAAACCAACTTTATTCATGTGATAAGATTTTTAATGACTTTATGCTTGAGGACTAAGGAACTACTCTTTAATATGACTTAAGTTCTGAAATGAGGGTGGAAAAAATAACACAAGTGTTCACTTGAAGGGGGTAAAACAGTGCCGAACAGAGAAGCCCGTACAAGCGAATCAAACAGATATGATGACTCTGGTGTGTGAAAGAGTTTGTCTTTAAGGTAGTTTATATGTTATTGAGACCTTGAGAGAGTAAATTACTCTTTGTATGATTAACTGCAATCCAGGGTGGTATTTTTTGCTTTAGCTGAATGAATGATGAAACTGATTATCTATAGTAGCTGGAAAAGGACATTTCTTAAAAAAAAAAAACAGTATCAAATTTAATAGGACCACACTTGAGGAAGAGAGTTAAGGGAATAAATTTAGTATGGTAAAGAGGTTTAATGTCTTATTTAGGCTGTGTGCTACATGAACTTTACTTGATTTTTACTCCTTGCTTTCAAGCTTTATTTGTTATCAATGTATTGCCACCATTATAATTTAAGCTTTTTTATATGTTCATGCAACATAAGTATGCTGATTTGATTATTCTGTACACAATAAAGAAGGTGAAAAGAAGAAGTCGGAGGGTCAAAGTAATCTTGTTAAATAATCTATAGTGGTTTCTCCAGTTTCCTTCTATACAGTTGTTTGATTGCTAGTAAAGCTGGATCATTAGTTGCCTTTGAAGAGGAATTTTATTGTTAGTGGTCCAAGGGTGGCTCCTCATTTGCTGTCGGAGGAGGAATTTTCAGGAACATCTGTAGAGCTGGAGTGAAGATGAGAATGGTACCCAGTATAGCAACTGAGAGGAAAACCCACAGGAAGATCCGGTCTAACACCTGAGCAACAAACTTCCAGTCTTGCACCACCTACAAAAAAAAGACAAATCAAACATGACATGACATAGAAACACACGGATATAAAGTCATTCTAATGCGAGTGTCACTACACACACCTCATGGATGAAGTGTTCTTTCCGGATATGTCTGCTGATATAGCGTACTGAATAGATGGCTTTTTCCAACATGGTGGCCCAGGCTTCTTCCTCCTTGCCGTCAGATGTCGTCTGTGCATGGGCTCCTTCGCCTGTTCTCTGGCCACCTCTCCGACCGCCAGAACGAGGCTTAGGCTCAGGACTCTCGGGGGCCAGCTCAGGGTAGTGGTACCGGTAGGTGTGTCCTCGCATGCAGAGCAGTTTGGGGAGTTTTTGCAGAAATAGGTTGCGTACCCATGGAGACATCGGGTGGTAGGTGGCTGATGAGCGGTGGTGGACATTAATGACAAAGACAGTGACAATGATGGACAGGGTGACGAAGATCATGATGAAAAGCAGGTATTCTCCAATGAGTGGGATGACTTTAGATGAAGAGGGAATGATTTCTTCAATGACCAGGAGGAACACCGTGAGCGACACTAGAACAGAAGTGGAGAGCGATAGTTTCTCTCCTTCATCCGATGGGAGGTAAAACACCAGGACGGTCAGAAAAGACAAACCCAAACAAGGGATGATGAGGAAGAGTGTGTAGAACAACGGCAGTCTCTTCAGGATGAAGGAGTAGGTGATGAAAGGGTAGGAATACATGCCATCCTTCCTGTTTCCTTTGGCACCAGTGGCACTGAGGATCTCCCATTCTCCGTTGTCAAAGAAATCTTTCCGATCAACCTGGTTGTCCATCAGAACCATGTCTACCATGTTACCATCGTAGGTCCAGGAACCAAACTTCATTGAGCAGTTCTGGCGGTCAAAGGGGAAAAATGTAACATCCATGGTGCAGGCAGATTTGTAAGAGGCAGGTGGTGTCCAGGTGATGGCACCATTGAACTTAACAATGGCTTTAGTCATCAGCGATCCCTCGAACCGTCCATCAGCACTGAAGGGAAACAAAAGACAAAAGTCAGGACATATCTGCTTTTCTAGTAAAAACTGCAATTACACCACATGCATCTAGTTTTTCATCCTCACTTAAAATGAAAAAGGTGATAAAAATGAGTCTTCATACTTACATTATCAAACCTTTATATTCATATGTCAACCTTTAACTATATCTTATGAATCTTTTTAAAAAACATCACAATCATTTCTGAAGTTTCACATGAAGCAACATTGGTCAGTTAGTGTCAGAGCAGTCTCACTTTTCATATAGGACTATATCTGGGAGCCAGATATTCTCTGAAGGAACTCGGATTGAGGTTATTCCACCATATTTATCTGGATTCCATCGCAACTTGTAATCGATCCATTCCTAGTTGACATAAATGCAGAACACACCATTTGTTCAAGACTTTACTGAAACATTAACAACAGTGCTTCCACTTCATACATCTGTATTGCTCCAATTTGTTAATGTAGGATAAAAAAAGACTTTACCTTTCTTCCTTTACATGTGGCCATGTGTGTTTTGCTTGATTTGTGTGCCTTACCTGACTCAGCCAAACATTTGTTGTCATGAGCTGATTTTTTTCATCCTGAAACAGGCAACATAAAAAAAAAAGATTTACGACTTTTTGGAATTTGATGATCAAAAGATCTGCTAGTGTAAATTATATAAACGATATTTTTGATTCTGGTACTTTACTTATTACAGCAATTCCCATCTTCCTTATTGTGGTGGTCCATCAACACCCTTCATTTGACTGAGATACTACAGATGTGTTTTTATATTTCTATATTCTAAATGTGTGTTTTAGAGAGATTTATTTTCCCATCTGTTGTATTCTCTTTACACAAATGAAAAAGAAACATGAGACTAAAGCTGTGAGCAGTGAAAAAAGCTGAGGTAATGTAATCAAGTGGTGGTGAATACAGGAAGATGGAAACAGAGACATGGAGAGCAGCTAGTTCTGTTTTATTTCCTCTGAAATAAGACAGGTTTGAAAGAAGGAGGGAAAGACTGAAAAGAGAGGACAGTAGACCTGAATCATTTTGTTGTCCCCAGCCCAGGCCTCAGCTGTCAGAGTGAGTTGGATGGTTTGGTAATCACATAGACCAGAGGTGAGCCATAATCTAATAGAAAACCATGCAGCAGCCCAGAGACAGCCAACACAACCAAGCTGTTGTTTTAAGATCAGCTCTCTTTCCATTCTCATTCTAAACCCAGATAAACACATTTTTTTCTTTTTAATGGAAAACACGGGGGCTTTGTTTTATCCAGTCCTGCCCTGGTGTGGAAAAGAGAGGGGAAAGTAAGAATAAAATGTTAACTGGTTGAGATAAATATTTCAAGCCAAGAAGAGTGGCTGCTCCATTAATGTCCTCAGCTTTCTTATATTTGAACACCTAAACCATCATAACCTATCACAGACAGCCTCTGAAATATTGAAGAAACACTCCAGAGAAAGCCTGTGTTGTTGCAGATATGACTTGAGTGTTCCAAATCTATTTTGGGAGCATGTAAAGCTTCAAACTGAGGCTGCCAGTGGTGCCTTTGGTTTCATCACCATGGACAGCGACATCGCTGAACCAAAAGAGCAAATGGCTCACCTTGCTGCTGTTCTCTGGTCCAAGCACTTTGTTTTGATGTTTTGGTGTAAATTATGGCGTATTCCCTTCTTCCTTTTTTTTTAAAGCAAACATCCTTTTCTAATCTTTCTGTTTTTTATTGTTAAAAAGCAAGTGGGAAATATTTCAGTCAATTGTTGTTTCAACAAATGAAAAAGAAGGATTAAAAACAACAAGGAGATCAATCTATTCTGTATATATTCCATTAGAGTTTAATTATGTTTAAATGATCAAAATGGGATATTTATATCTACCACAGCCTAGAAAGGACAAACTGAGCACTTGTTTCATTTCACATTTTTCAGCAAAAGAGAAAAGTCTGGGACCAATATGACATTTAGGGTAATGCTGCATTTCACTTGGTAATTTTTAATGGTCAACAACATTCGAACATTTTCAACTGTCTAATAATAAATGCAGACTTCTTTGTATACAGAAACAATATACCTCGAAATGTGCCTTTACATACAATCAGAGACTCAGAAAACTGGAAGAAAAAAAAAACGTATTTGCTCTGAACCTCACCACATCAACCAGCTGAGAGATCTTGAGTCCAAGTCGTACTCTGACCGTATCGTTTGCACGCTGGATTGGCCTCACCCAGCGTTGGTAGCCTTGGAAAAGGTTTTTCAGCAAAGCATCCTCCATCTCCGCCAAGGATACAAATTCCTTTTGTGCTGCAAGAATGAACAGTATGGGTTAACTTTCAGTCAAACCTGCCATTTGGGAAGATTGGGAATATTTATATCAATTCTGTTGCAATTTCTCTCAAACAGTTAAAATGCAGATGCACTACTTGCAATGCTCCAAAGGAAAGGTTTTTTACCTTGGACTAACAGCAAATTAGGCAGAAACACATTTTACAAAAACTCTCTTGAGGTATAAACTACTCATGACTGAAATCAATATGAGGAAAAATATGGTAAGCACGAGGAGTAACATTAAAGCAGGTTTATAGAGTACAGAAGATGTTCTAAGGTTTCAAATGGCTATGAAATGAAAACAGGGAAATCAACACACCTTTGCTGTTTCAGAGAAGAAGCATTTTTAACCCTCTAGCTGGTACCTCCTGCAGCCTCACGCCTCAAAGACAGGCCAGATATTCACAGCATTTAATTCCATCAGCTCTCTTTGTACTTTCAAGGACAGTGGCACAGAGCTGGACACTGATACCTGACCCCAGTGTTCTTGTTTGTCTATTGAAAATCAACTTTACCAGCAGAGGCTTCACCTTGCTGTGCTATGCTGCTCAAAAACTCATCTGCTTGATGCAGGACTAGATCAAAGGATGGTGAACTGACTTATCCTGCAAAGTCTAGCTCTTAGCTTTTACAACTTAGTTTTAAATAGCATATATCTCTTCAATGTAAAACTTAAAATAGTAAATATATTTTATAATAAAGTAACTCTTTCTCAGAGTGGATGTAAAGTTAAGTAACAGCTGACCTCTCAACATACCAGTCAGTCAACAAACATTATCATCTTAGCATTCGTTGTTGCCAAATCAAACAATGACCTTCTCCTAAGATTCACACATCAACTTGTGAGCAGGTCTTTTTTTGTTTTATCCAAGATAAACAAAAAACTAATTGAACTGAAGTCATTGCATCTCCATCAGCAATTAATGGTCAATATAATCTGCCTGCGCCCGTCTTGTTTCCAAAAACATTACAAAGGATTGCGTATGCCAATTCATTAAGAACACAAAGAAAAAACAAAGAGTTTTCTCACCGGTGATGGCTGCAAAGGACAATGGACACACAGACAGAAGGATGAAGACCAACTTCATGGTGTTCCTGTCCGAATGGCCACGTTTGCAGTCCTCTGTTTCTAACCGCTGCTCAGCCGGAGTGGATCACTAAACCGTGTTAAAAACACCGAGGTCCCCATCAGATAAAGTGCAGCGCACAGTTTGGCGAAACGCTGCGCTCCTGGTGTTTTCCAGCGGCCAGTGAAGGCGCATGTGGCCGGAGTCTGTGCAATGTGACTCCAGTCGAGGCAAAACGGGAAGCGGCGCAGCGGGAAGCTCCAAGGAAGAGAGGGACGGGGCGAGGAGGGGAGGGGAGGGGGGGCGGATAGGTTTATAGGTGCATAATTACTGTTTTAAAGGCGCCCTGAACCATAAATCAAGTTTTTTCCCATCTCTATGCTGCGCTTGTTTAATTCTTTCTAAACACCTTTGTCCATAATCTCTAATATTTCTGATTGGACAGGGTCAAAAAGACCTCTGGCTGTTGTAAACCTTCCTTGGTGCTTGTAACTTTTCTTAAGTCATTGCAAAAGCGCTTTTAAATAGAATGGAGCTCCAATTATAATGGTGAGTTTTAAAGGGTTGCTCCTACCGCTTAAACAACCCATAGATTATTTGTGGTCTTCTCATCTGCAAAGCTCAAAGGACCACACCGTGGTTATAGAGATTAACCTACAGGATTTCTCTTAATGAACACCATTAGCATCTTTTCATTCTTTCTAGAGCACACTTAGATAACATACTGGATAAAGTTGCAATATTTAATCAAAATTCAGTTTGTGACTGGACAGTAATTACTGCATCTGTGTCAGACAATATAAAGGTAAGGTTGCTAGTACAATGTCTGAGACATCTGGTTATCTCTTCCTGTGCATTCACCGAGATGTAACAGAAGAAAAAGAACATTGGTGCCAGGTGTTACTTGTTGTGAGACCTTTTCGATCAGTGAATTAGCCGACATGGAGGAAAGTTGCTCCGTCATGTGTGATGAAAGATCTTTCCACTGTTCATTCCAACAAAAGTTCATTGTTTTTCCCGCATTGTGTCTTTTGCTGTACATATGAATATATGTAACAAAAGGAGTAACAGTGGTGAGAGAACATCATTAGTTATTTGAATCGCTGCATTGACCATCTTCGGTTTATCAGTAATTCACCCACAGAGTTTGAAGTGTGTGGGATGAACATGCAACAGGAAAAACCTGTTTACATGCAAATTCAAAATACTCTGTTCACTAGAGAGTTGGATTTTATTGTTACTTTTTTGTGTTTTTTCTTATACTGTATAATCAGTTATCTGTAAGATATTTCAAAATTAATAGGTAGTAAAGGAAAGGAAAGGAAATTGTCTTAAAACAGGTTAAAGAGAAGTGACAGTCCAGCTTTCCATGGTACTCAGAAAGATAAACGATGAAAACTAATTCACACATAAAGACAGAACTGTAGAGAGAGAGCTGTGGAAAGAATGAGAGGAAAAAGAGAGCTGATATCAACATGAAGTATATGTTCCCCTGAAACAAACACACACGGATGGTGAGATGGTTTATAGATTTTAACTGTGGACAAAAACACTTTCTGTAAAGAAATGTGTGAAGTAACAGAGAGAGGGGGTTGATAGAGACCGTGCATTTTTGTTGTTAAGTTGTATGAAAATAATTTCGACTTCTGCAAGGAAACCATAGTCTGAGCACCCAAAGCAAAAAAACATCCCCACACATTCTCACATATTGATGTTTTTTAAATGTAATGTTAAAGTTTCCAATCTAAAAATAAAAATCTGGGCCGTGGTACTTTTTAATCCAAGACAGAGGACAAAGTCAGGTATCTGCTTGGTTTTATTTTGAATTTTTAATGAGAAGAAAGGAAAACATAAAGGCTGTAACAGGCAGGAAACACATTTTATATCACTTGTTTTTTTTCTTTCTCTTTATCCCTCCTCTGTGCATACATAATTCTCTCACATACTACCTTTCATTTGCGCTCCTCCTTTCTCTTACTTTTATGGGTGGAAGTGTGAGGGATAACAGGACGCTGGTTATCACAATGAAATTATCCTGATTTTCTGCTCCACTTGGAGCTGTGGGGCGGGCAGCTGCTGCCTCCAGGATCGTCCCATTCGCCTCGCCTCTAATCATTTGGAAACAGAAATTCTCAGTGGCTGGAAACCTGCCTGACCCTCCTCAGATGACAGTGGCCAGCTGCACAGTGTGTGTACATTTCTGTTCGTTAACATCTGGGAGACCATATGTGAGTGGATATAAAACAAAATGTTTGTGCACCTCCATGTGTAGGTTTTTTCGCCCCTCTGTTTGGTGTTGCTTTTTGCTCTCTCAGTTGTTCTTGAGCTTGTGATTAAGGCCTGCATAATTTCACTTGTGCAGACATATTTAATTGATAAGGAAAAACAGCCTGGTCTCCCCAGGCCTGGGGGTTAATCTTAATCTGTTTGTTATTCTAAAGATTTTCCAAGAAGGAGGGGGATGCCGGACAAGAAAGTAAAATCTCACTCAAGCTTAAAGGGAAACTTTGCTGAGAGCGTGGTCTCTCTCATTACCATTCTATTAGCTCTCTTATGATATCCCAAATACTTTAAATTAATTCCTGATAATATTGTAAGATTTACCATATCAGTGAAGACCACAATCACTTTGTGATGCCTTCTCATTTTAAATCCTAAGTTTTAAACAAGCTGATAAAGATAAATTAATAAAAATCTTCCAATCCCATCAAAGAAAAATTCTGCTCAGTCTTTTGTTATTGCAGTTCTCTGAACAACCAACAACTACCCCCAAACAAATGAGGCCAGATTTGTGGCCAGAGCTGATTAATGGATCTGTGCAACAGTTTGAAATTTGGTTGGAAAATAAAACAGAAAGAAAGAGCCAAAAGAAAATAAGATAGTCATTGAGGAAAACGGTAATAGATTATTTCTGTGATCTAGATTCAGATAAAGGCTTCTTATTGAAAATAAGAAGCCTTATTACCTTTCCTTTTATTCTTTGATATGGAAACTAATCATTCTAGTTCAATTTTAGGAAAATCTCAAGCCCATGAGACACTGTTACAATACTGCCTCTGTGAGATAGTTTATATGGACATTATAAGTAATCAAAACCGTAACTGGAAGTGTTTTTTAATGGGTATGTGAGCTCAGTTGTGTTATTTTTGTGGAGAAATTAACACATTTACAGAATGTAAAGTGAAAGGACGACTTATTCAAAATGCCTCAGAGCTCGGTTAATTCCTCTCACATTGCATTGTTCCCTGATCGCTCTGCTCATCCTCTCCTGCAGCTGAGCCAAAACCAGATAGTTGTTGTTCAACAGACAGAAAAAAGTGCCCGTTAAACTGGTCAGTATGATGTTGATTTCTGGGTAGACATTATTAAAGAGAATTACAGATATCTCTTAAGTTGATATCTTTAATATTTGGCAATTCAAAACAACATTTATAAATATAGTTGAAAATGGACATGTATGGGTGAACCAAAGCAAACTTTTTCAGTATGTTTTTGTACTGGGTGAAAACTTTAGGAATGGTAAAACAACTGGTTAGATATTCTTGTAAAAATAGACAAAAAATGTACCTGGATCTAAGCAGTGCCAGTATAGCTGGATGTTACCTAATCTTTTCTTCTGGAATTGAATACATTTATGCAAAAATGTATCTACTTTTGGAGAATAATCAGGGAGACTTGAACTCTGTATATTTGTGTTTGTGTGTTTGTGTGTCAGGGTGAATCCATCCAATAGTCCATTTTCAGGTTTTTCTGTATGTTTTAATGGATGTGTATGTGTAAACCTGAGTGCAACATTGCTGTTCCTTCATAAACATGTTTCATTATGTATTTATGCAAATCTGCGTTTGCATATTTTTATCTGTGTTTAGCTTACACACTGTCTTGCCTATTTGTAAATGTATTGGTGTGTCACTGATGCAGAGGCTCCTGGGGGGTGTGTAGAGAGGAGGGCTGGATGTGTGTCTAGTCTCCATGTGGCTACCTTTAAGTGTGACTGCCCAAAAGGGGCTCACTGTATTTACTGCTCCGGGAGAAAAATAAAAACCTCTTCATTTCTCATCAAAAGTTGCATGAATCTTGCACAATATTTTATTCTTTCTAGATAAGTCACACAATGCTGTCTAAAGCTATGTGGAAGAAAAAATATAAAAAACAAACAAAAAGCAATTGAATGAAGCAGCATATTCTGTTTTGTTTATTTTGCCTTGATCCAACAATAGACATGTCGTGAGTATGATTCAAATACTCGGTATATGCTGATGTTCATTTTTCAAAAATTAAGATGGGTATATCAGCCTCTGTAAATTTACCAGATAGAGGCCCCACAGGCCAAGTTTAAGCTGCAATCAACACCTGTTTGTAGTTTTTGCTATTATACCATATGTGACAGCAGGGTCCTGTATTGTGACACACAGAGTCAGACAGACTGAGATGGGAAAGTAAATATCCAAAAAATGGTCGAACGTCTCTCTAAAGGATCATTGTTTTGATTTTATATTGTGTCTTTCTTCTGCCTCTGATTGTGTACTTCTAGTTGTTGCTTGTTTTGCCTCAGCCCTCTGCCGGTCAGCCCTCTCTACCAGTCCTCCAGTTCTGCATGAGGCAATTACATTGATGGTGAAGTTGTGGTGAAACTACTTGGTTTTAAGTGACATTTTAATATAGTATCTTGTTCTTAATTTTGTTTGAATCAAGTTATCTTAAGCTCTCTTCAATTAAAACACTGATTAAATGCATTTAAATAACATGTAAAATGTTTATGAAACACAATCAGGATGGAAATTATTAAGTAAATTCTATTTCATTTACCAACAACATGTTGGAAGACACAATTTAAATCATTCTGAAAAAAGCAGAGGACAATTTAATGCGAACAAATTTTTTCTTTGATTATGTATACATTGATTTCTAACAGATATGGATGTGATATTGCTTAAAAACTTCCAATCTTTTTCAAAGTTAAGAATAAATATAAATATGAAAATATATATACATATGCCTATATAGTGTAATTCCAAGACAATGTTCCTTCATCTTTCTACAAATATACATTAAACAGTGCATTTTGAAGCTTTCTCTTTAAATTTTTGTGTTGTGAGAATGTGCAGCATGCTACATCAAACGGCAGCCACTCATGAGTGGGAGAGGACCCTACTTTTGCGTGCATGTCTTCAGAGGGCTCCTATTGGAATTAATTATTTAGCTGAGAGTCTCCTTTACTTATCCACGGTTGACTGGCTGCAGGCGTGTACCGTTCTGCTCCCGATGACACAAGAGAGCAGCCTAATACGCTATTTGCCCCTCTGCAGTATGACCCCACGCATCATAAAACTCCACCCAATCTTCACAGAGCATGCTCAAGTGATCTTTTCATAGGCTCCTTCATCTTATCCTTGCTCGTTTGTGGGCGAGATTTCGAACAATACAATAGAAAGGCAACAATATCGAAACAGAAACAAGAATATAGGATGAGTAAAGAATCCTGAGGCAGTTTGATGTGCAAATGATGAAAATAAAGCATGTACACAGAATGTGCTTCTATTTTTCAAAAAGTTTGATTCTTAATAATTGATCAAACAAATTGATTTGTCAGAGATCCAAAAGCTATGGCAGGTCTGCCATCCATGACTCCTGGATAGCAGGAGTCATGGGCTGAAATCAGCTGTGATGAATCAGGTAAAATATTCATCCATGTTTCTCACTTAATAATGTATTATCCTTCAGTTTACCACCAGGAGTCTCACAGTGCTCTGGTTCACACTGACTGAAACTAAGTTGTTGAAGACACTTATTTTCAGGTTCTGAACTATCAAAGTTACCTAATTAAAGGTTCATATAAAGTTACTAGAGCTTGCAAGAACATACATTTATTATTTCATATCAACATTATCAGTTTTAGGGACTATGTAGTGAGTTGGAAATGATCCTGTTAGGAAAACTGCAACTACCACACAACTGTCTGTTACAGCTTGAGAATGTGGTTGATCTTCTGCTGAGCGGCTCATTTTGTGTTAGCCAGGCGCCAATGTAACACAGTCAAGCTGCAGAAGGGGACAGGCTGGTTTTCCTGTGTGTCTGCGGTACAGCTTCAGCCACGTCTCCATATTTAGACTCAATCCATCCGATAATCTGCATGTCGTGAGACCTTTGATGCTGAGGGCACACATGATCTCAAACACACTCCGTCACCTTCTCAACCACTCTCATGTCCTCGGGTGACATGCGTAACTTTCCTGCTCTCCTGTTCGTCACACACGCACCGATATGTACATGCTCATTGAGTACACACACTGAGGGATTAGTCTGAACGGATGAGCTATTTGGAGCCACTGGGTGGGATACTCCGAGCCACAGTCACACTCTGATGCCACTTTAGGGCGGAAGGACTGAATGTTGGGCCTTCTCTCTGAACTATAAGGGTGTGTAACAGCTGACAGGCACATTCAAACTCAACCATGACCTTTAAGGGAATGAGCAAAATACAAAAATCTACGTCTACTCACTCAATGTATGTTAGTGTGCAATAGGGTTAAATACAGTTTCCAACACACAATGTCTACCTCCTAACCTCACAGCCTAATTCATTCACAGATTGCTTGGCTCATAATAATTATTCTGTCAAATATTTCAATCTTGACAAGACTCAACACGTGCAAAAACACTGTAGGAGTAGTTTGGTCTTGAACCCCTGTCCCATGCTTAAAAATGCAACTGATTCAAACTGATTCACGTAGCAGTGACAGTTCCTCCATCCTTTTAAATGGTCAACCAAATATTCAAAGGGCATTTAAATTCTTTCAACACATATGGCAACATTAAGATACTAACCCTACCATAGAGACCATGTATTAGAGGAGTTTTAGTCACTGATTTTTTTGTAAAGAAAGAGCACATCTGGTTGCTAAACAGCTGGTGAAGTCCCCCGATACCTCAACCCAATTACAAGCTCCCTGAGTCATATCTAATGCAAGATTCTAACCACCTGCAACATACAATGGTTAGCACAGCTGTATATGATCCAAGTCCATGGCTAAGCTTTGATATCCATACATAATTTTCAACAATTACAACTAGTTTCACTCACATTATTTGCTGAAGTCATTGTCATTTTTGTTGAGTTTAGATAGATTCAGTTTCGGTTCTGGGCATAGTAAAATATGGAACCTGGTTGTTACCAAGGCCATTTACTTAAATAATCGTCTTTGTCGGTAAGATAAAAGTTGTCATTTTTACTGACTTAATCCTCTAATATTTAAACTATGATTTGTTCAAACCATTTCTTTACTTTTCTACCATATCCTTAATTGTCCATTTCGTTCTCTTGTGTTGTCTCTGTTCTCTCTCTCCAAAGTGTCTGTCTCACAGCATGCTGCCACTAATTCATGAAATGCACATAGCAGTTAGGTGTATCTTTAAATACTATATTCAATTTATAGACTGCTTGGTTCTAAAAAAAAAAAAAAAGAAGTAAAAGCCGTATTTAAACTTACTTAAATGCTTCATTTGACAAATCAGACACAGGAGGCCTCTGGTGGAACACAGGCATGGTTCACTCAGGTGTTAATCTGTCTAGAAGTCCTTATCAAGTAGTGTAAACATGACTAGATTTTTTAAACAAAAAGCAACCAAAGATTTTCATTTGTTCTATGTGTCCTTTTTCAACGTCTCTTCCCTTATCGCTAAGAAATGGAGAGACACTTAAAACATACAACAAAAAGACACAAAAGCTAAATGAAAAAGATTGTTCAACAAATCAAACCCCAAAATGCAACACTATGACACTCAGAAAGGATGAGAGGCATTATTTAGTTTTTTTAGAAGTTTAATCAATATTGTGCTCTTTAAGGTGCTTCTATACACTGACAGTTTTGTCTGATGCTCTGAATTCACATATGGTGCACACTTATACATGAAAACACGTCATCCTTAAAGGTGTACAACCATAACCAGTGTCGTTCTCAGGAGCCATGCACAAACCCACAAATATCCTGAAAAGGTATGGACAAGGACATTGCTGATATTTAGTAAGAAAACATATCAACATTACCCACTGTAAAAATGAAAAGAAAAAAAACAGCATTAAACTTGCAGTTATTGATTTTAGCACTAAAAACAACCTGTCCCTAAACATGTTCTTATTGCATGGGTATACAATAACAAGGTTATTCCACTTGTTTTAGTGATAAACTTCTTTAAGAGGTTCTTCTACATTTTTCATAAAACACGGAAATGCAACAGTACTGAGATGCTAAAGATGAAAGAGTGCCAGCAAGAGCAGGTCAAAGTATGGCAGCAGAGAGGAGAAAACAAGGAGAAGGGGCCAATGGGATAATCAGGTCTGAAAAAATGGCAGTGTAGAGAAGGAGACCAGATAACAGCTTTAATATCATGCTGTAGTGGCTAGATTCATGAGGAATGGAAAAGTGAAAGCTGCCGATGGAGTCCCAGAGAGAAGCAAGAGACAGATTGAAGAGTGACAAAAGGCGGAAAAAGAAGACAATGAAACCCTGGTGTTTGATGTGACACAACTGCAAGGGGGATGAGTCCCGGAGTAATTCAAGTGAGATACAGAGACAGGCAGAAAAAGGCAGGCTGAGGGAAAAAGAGCCAGGACAAAGACAAGTGACTCATTTAAAAAAGCTGATGAGTGGCTGCAGGAAGAGTCCCAGAGTTCCCAGCACACACACTGTCACAAAAACCCACAAGAAAATCCTGTCAATGACCATGGCAACATATTTCCAGTCATCTTCCACCTGAGGAGAGATGGAAGAGAATTTTAGTGTGTGCACAAATAGAACATCAAATATCCAAAGCAAACAAAATTGTTTTTCTAAAAACTGTGTGCTGTCCTCTTAAAGTTCCTTCCTATATTTCTTTTAAAATGGTAACCTTTTCTGTTACCATTTAAAATGGTAACATAATGAATAGTGAAAATCTAGTGTTTTGGAGCATATGTGTTTTTTTTAGTTCTGTGAAAAGGGCAAGAAAAAACAGTAGTGTTTCAAATCAGGTATCTATTTTCAGCACTGGAGATGGTTCTACACAGTAAGGGTGACTCCACCTAATGTACCGTAAATTTTTTGTTCCAGGAACTTTATTTCAAAGGACCAAATGGTTCCTTAAGATGGCTGGTTGTCAGATCTATTTATTATAAACCAGATGTTTCCAGTATCCAAGGCTGGCAATCACCATATAACCCATACTGGATATTTCTCTGATGAAAGGGATCCTGACTTTCTTTGACATCATAAAAACAATAGACATGGGGGTGTCTTCAGTTCCAGACAGTTACAGATGGAGGCTGTGCAGATGGTGGAAAGCAACTGTGGAAACAGCTGATCGCCATCTGCAAAGCCTCAGGAAGCAATGGGAAACATCTATCTCTCTTCTGATCTAGCAGGGAATTATTTTGGCCCAATAGTATGGAGCAACTGTACACTTTTTTTTTACAACTGTTTTGTTAGTTCTTTTTTTTAAATCTGAGTTTCAATATTTATTCTGTTTAGAAATGTAAGTAGAGTAATTATTTTGTATTTGCTCACTGCCACGATGCAAAACCTATCATTACCAGAGATTATATATCTGTGAAATGACAAGCTGAATAGAAAAGTATACACTGATATAAATGTGTATTTGCACATCTTTATTTAATCCAAAACAGATCAATTTCAGATGGAGACTTCATGTAAAGGCTGCTGGAAAGTCTCTGCTGATGCCTGGTTTCTTTCCAGAAGGCATAGTTTATTTTTAATGAGCCATGTGGTTCTCCCGTGGTCTAAAGGACAGTGTGATTTAGGCAAATTAGTCTGATGAAAAAATGAAAAACTCTTGGGTATTTTTAGATTTATTTTTATGCACACCTGTACCATGATCTGTTCCACTCAAATCCAATCTGATGTAGCTGTAATGCAAAAGCCTAAACCAACAGCAGTGGCACACCATGCAAGACACAAGCATCATAAGTTGGTAGGACAGACCATGATTTCCTTTCAATACTAAATATTAAAGTACTACATGTACTCATCCCTTTCAGAATTACCTCCAGTGTAGGGGGATCTTTAGAAGTTAAACAATGTCTGAGAATTGTAATTTCACATGTGGTTCCTGAAATATAAAATTCTGAGTTTGTCCAAACGCAAATGTACATGTGAACTGTGAAAACATTTAATACACTTCAAATATTTCAACTCAATATCGTTTAGCAGGATCAATGAAAAGGGTGTTCCATTAGTTTCACAGTGCATCTGAACAGGCATTTTCATAACAAGGTGTAACCAGCCTTTTTAGAGCTCTGAACATTTGCACAGTGCTGTTTATAGTTAATCAGGTGTGAAGAATGGGATCATGAATGCAGTGACCATACAGCCATTGTGCAGCTGGAGGTGGCAGCATGGCTAATCTGCAGGCATGAAAGAAACATTCCAGTGTTGCTCAAAAAAGATTTAGCTGACACAACAAACATATCAGAACTATCCAGTGTGCGATGAAGGCATAGTAAAGTCCCAATTCTGAGAGAAATGAGTAGATCTACACCCCCTAAATAAACATATTTAAACAGTTTGTACACTATTCACTAAGGAAGGTAGAAATGTACCTTCTATGTAGAGGTAATTTACGTGCAGAAGGCACGGCTACATGAGTATTTGCTCATTTGAATGCTCTGTAGCTTGTGGGTACAACATCCATTTAATTACATTAAACATGCCTAGTCTGATCCTCAATAGAAAAAACGTTTTTCGAGATCAGAAAAAAATTTCTAGGACCAAGCTGGGATTGAAATAACCTTTGATTTAGTCAACATGTAGCTACAGTTAATGGTATTAATAAACCTTTGCTGTTGCCAAAAGGCTTTGCTCTTATTTTGGACTCATGTCTGCGTCACTCGTTAGTTTCCCGTAGGCAGAGAAAACAGTGGTGAAACTCCTCTATCCAGGGATGCATTTCATTTTTCCAGCTAACAATATTTTAAACCTTGATAACTAAAGGACCAAAAGGACCACCTGCTGACCTTGTTATTGCTAGCTGTCTGTGAAATTACACTGAACACCTTTTTTTCCTTATCTTTAAAAAGTATTCAAAAGTCCAAGCACTATTCGATAACAACCAAGCAAAACCTTTTGGTGGTTCTCTGAAACATAATTTCTAATCCTTTAAAATATAGAGATATGAAGTCTTAGTAATTTAAGAGCTTAAATTCTCATTGATCATTGCTAACTTTAAAGCGCCAACCACCTCAGTGGGGTGATGCAATTATTGAAGTTAATGTATGTATTAGTAGATCTTTTGTAGAGATTCAACTCTTTAGACAACCCTCTTTAATGCAAACATTCACAAAACACACCAGCACACACAAAAAACATTTTCTCAATTTCAAACTGTTCACCACATTACGTACCTCCTTGGCTTTATTGCGGGTCCTCATGTTCTCTGCAATGTACTTCACGCTCTCAATGGCCTGCTTGATCTCAGGAGACACAACAGAAAAGGCGACGACTGCATTGACTGGTGATGATGCTTTCAAGGGCCTCGGCACCTTTGGCAGCTCTGACTCTGGGGGCCCATGTGCCTGAGGTGCAGGGGGAGGAGGCGGCACCATTGGGGGTGGAACAGGAGTCGGTACCTCCTTGCCTCTATAGGGACACCTCCTGCTCATATCTCGGTCACGGTTTATCTCTCCATACTCTACGCAGTTCATGGAGCCCCCAGCTGAGGAAGTTCCTCCACCTCCAGAGCCACTATCCAGTGGTGGGCACGCCACTCCCCCAGTTATACCACCAATGCTTACACTTCCTGAGCTACTTCCTCCCCCTATGCTATTCTTTCTCTTCTTGCCACCTCCCATGTTGGCTCCCCCCACCGCTCCTGTAATGCCGGGAGGTGATGAGCAGCCCTGGTCGATGGGCCTCCTCATCAGCATTACTCTGGGCAGCACCCCAAGGAAGACTGATCTCACCCACTCTGGCATCGTGTGAGTCATGGGAGTGCGATAGTGGACATTCAGCACAAAGACAGTGATGACGATGCTGAGAGTTACAAATATCATGGTGAAGAGAAGATACTCCCCGATCAGTGGGATGACGAGTGAGGTTGAGGGGATCGTCTCAGTGATGACCAGCAGAAACACGGTGAGCGAGAGCAGAACTGAGATGCAGAGGGTGACTTTTTCCCCACAGTCAGAAGGAAGGTAGAAGACCAGCACCGTCAGGAAGGAGATGAGCAGGCAGGGAATGATGAGGTTGATAGTGTAGAAAAGAGGAAGGCGACGGATGTAGAAGGAGTAGGTGATGTCGGGGTAGATCTCCTCACAGCAGTTATACTTGATGTCATGCTTGTACCCGGGTGCATCAATGATCTCCCACTCCCCACTTTCCCAGAAGTCTTTCAGGTTCACCTGGTGTGGTTAGAGTGAGAAAATTAAAACAAGTTCTAAGAGGAACTTAACATTTCTTTAAGTCAGCAAATACACTACAAACCTAATTTGAAGATGAATGGTTACTGCCGTAGCTAAAGACACTTGCTACTCTGTAACAACCTCACTTTGGCTAGACTGATTTTATGAACTTAACCACATTTCATCATGAGAGCACATTGAATCCTAAGGATCCCACAAGTTATTTGTTTGCTGAACTGGTTATATTTTTGCAAGTATTATTATCAAATTATGGTAGAAATGGACTCTCTCTGACCTTTGAGCCAATGAGCACCAAGTCGATCTTGGCCTTGTCATAGGTCCAGGAGCCAAACTTCATGGAGCAGTTCTGATAGTCAAAGGGGAAGTATGTGATGTCCATCGGACACGAGGATTTGAATATAGCAGGTGGAACCCAAGTGATTGTGCCGTCGAACTTCAGCAGAGCTTTGGTCTTGTCTTCCACCAGAAAATCGCCGACAGCGCTGTGAGAGAGCACTTACATTTAAACTCAAGATCTCGGAACAAATGCCATTGTAAATGTAAAGAAGACTGAAGATAACCCAGAGAATGTTATCAAATTTTTAGCATTTGTTTATCTGTGCCAATGATGCAAATTATATTTCTGTTTGATATAATTTTCTTTTTCAGTTTAAGACTCTTTCTCACAATGATTTTACATAGGCGTACTTTCATTAAGTTTACACTTGAAAAATTTTTAGAGAATAGTATGTGATTTTGGTTCAAAGTAACCATCACATATAAGATTGAAAACAAGTTCGCAATAAAAAATTGTCAGTACAAAAGTGTCAGTAAGGTAAGTTCTCTCTACACAAAATGCCATTTCACCCATAGATTTCACACCAGCACATTTTTAGACTTAAAGTAAACTTACTTGTTATACAGGACTATATCTGGCCTCCAAATCTTGTTTGATGGGACTCGTATGAATTCAATACCATCATACTCAATGGGTGTCCATTTCAATTTGTAGTCATTCCACACCTTAAAGACAAAGTAGTAGCTTTAAATGTGATCATGCAGCACATCTCCTAAAAAAAACAAATAGTCAGTACTCACATGTCTCAGCCATAGGTTGGTTTCCATAATTTGATTCACCTCATCCTGAAAGACCAAACAAGGTAAATATAAAGACTGCACATTTTAGGATGCCTGCGTGCATCCTAAATAATCTGAATTCTTACCACTTTGACTAGCTGTGATATGGACACCTCAAACTCCACAGTGACCGGATCAGATACATTCTCCACTGGCCGGATGAACTGGTTGTACCTTCGGAACAACCTTCGAAATAACCTGTCTTCTGCCTTGGATGAAAAACAACCTAAAAAAATAAGAGGAGGAATGATGGAATTAAAGATAAGCAGATTTAGACGTGTGACAACAGTGTCACTTTTAATTGATTGCGTTATTGTGTGGGTCGGTGGAGTCATCCGCGATAATAACTGCTCCTTAATTGAACTTGACTCCAATATTTCTGAAAGGTCAATCACTCAGAGGGACTTAGCGTCAGTTTTGGCTGAAAAAGTTAATAGAGCAAACCAAATGTTTATGTTTTTCTACATCATGTTTAAAATCAACCAATAGGGTAGAAAGAAACACTCAAAAACTGAAGAGGAGGGAAAATCAGAACACAAACAGCTACACTTGATGGTTCAGGAGCCGAGAATAACTTTATGTTTCCACTTCTTCTTGTTCTTTATCATAAGTTACAAAAGTGTTTTTGTAGCTAATGAATTATTTATATAATTATCAACTTTAATTATTGTAATTATTGGTATTATTAACTCTTTAATGTGGACCCCCCATCTTAGTTTGATGTGAAAAAAGTTTTTTTTTAAGCATCAGCCTGAATTTACAATGTGTTTCAATGCTTTTCATGCATATTGAAGTTTCTCCCTCAGCCTTGATTGGTTTCATATGTGTAATGAAAGGCGTTTTAGCTTTACGTTTGCAGCAGTTAAAAATTGTGTAGAATGCTTTTTGCAAAATAAAAGAATGGGTCTTTGGCCAGAGTGTCAGCAGAGGTGTGTGTGCAAAGCTGAACTAAAGGTCAGATTCTGGAAAACTGTTGTTTCTAACACTGGTGGCTTGGCACGGCAGACAGACCCAAGACTGTCCAAGCAGAAAATGTTTCTCCACTTGAGACAGCTCACACTTGCACAACCAGAACAACCCTCAGGAACACTATAGCCACGTCTAGTGTCTAGTAGCTACAATGATCTTAGTACTCTTAATGAATCACTGATAAAATACCCAATAGGCAAACTTCACTGACCCTCATTCTGTGTTTCTATTGTTATGTTCACCTGTGCTCTGTTAACTTCTTCTGGTAACTAAACACATGGCACAGGAGACTCCAAGTCTCTGTTGATGTGGACAATGAACCGACAGAAAAATCACTGAGGCAAATACGGACAAATGCTTTGAGGAGCTTAGACTGACCTCTTCCATCACAGCTTTCAAGTGAGAGAGTAATGCACATATTTCACACAGCAAGAGGCCATCAAAGTGGCACTTAGTGAACCGCGGCATGAACCATTTCAGAGATGGAGGTGAATGTGTCTCACCAAAAGGGCAAGTGAGGCACAGTTCAGATACACACAAATAGCCACATTCCCTGAAATGTGTTTCCTTGACAACAACTGAATAAAACATGGATATTTAATGGCTTACTTTCATTCCACGTCAGTTAACTGTAAACAAAAAAAGCAAAGACCACTAGTTCACAACCTAATTTCATCGCCACTCGGAGAAAATATTTACCAATCATGTTCCCATTTCTTAAGAGGAATATCACATTACAAAAATAAAGAGCCGTTTTTGTTTGATTGAAAGCTTAAACATTTAAGTGTCTGAACTCACTACAAATGCACTAATACAGAAAAAAAATATAAACCTCTGAGTTTTCCGTGCCCCTCCAAGACAGAATACACCACATTTAGTGAGAGCTAAGCTTAATTCCAGTTGGAAAAAGGGTGAACGTGGAAACATTAAATTAAGAATGGGAAACTGAACTGCAATTGTTTACTTGGAATATACTTGTTTAAGTATGAAGATATAAGTGGGATGCACAAAAAACGCACAAATGCATTTTGCCAAGAGCGTCTGCTCCTTTTCCCACAGGTGGCTGCATCATTATTTCCATGTTTGGTTTTTCCTACACCGCATTCATGAGAGATAAAAATGGACTTTCAATAGGGGAGATGTTTTAATAAAGGTTTCCACATTATTTCAAAGCAACTTTATATTGTTACGAATCTGTTTCATTCTCTATTAATTCAGTATGTTATACTTTTTATTGCCAGTGGGAGTACACTGTGACTAATACTTTGCAGACGCCTCAGCTCCCATTTTGAGATTTAATTTGGTCATGTTTGCTAGGTCTGTTCTAACTTGCCAACCTTAAATAAGAATACACTTTAATAAGAACAAGACAGGAATGATTTACAAGAGGGGCTAACATAGTTCAACTGTAACAGGATACGCAGCTCAGATTACACTTAACGTAACGGCAACATTTGGTGTGCCTTTAAAAATAAATACAGACATGTGAATCAATCTTAAATTCAGTTCTATGAAAAGGTCAAAGACATTTCTCAAAATTTCGGCAGGAAAACAGTAGAATGTGATGACCTTTTGGTCCCCAAACTCTTTGGAAATCATCAAGTTTGTGCTAAGCGTCATAAATAAGTGAAGGCAGAAGTAATTTATATCCTCTAACTAAAGAGTACATTTGCAGTTATCAGTCTTTCAGCTATTTTAAGCTATGTTTTATCTGGTTCGCCCTCTTGATCAGTTTAGTTTGAATTTGATGATAATCTTAGAGCATTGTGAGGTTATAAGAAAACTGAATCAACTCTACTTCCAGTGCTCAGTGAGTTTGAAGTCTCAATAAGTTCTTCGAGGTCAATGGCTGCAGCGAACTGCGTCTTAAAACTTAATAAAAAGGCCTTACTCCAGAGACGCCTGTGTAATTTCATGCTCTTGGTACCTGCCTGAAAACTGCCCGCTGCTCTCTGATTTGCTGCTCTGCTGTAACCTTCTTTAAGCCTCTAATTGGCTGAGGGAAAAGCAGAGCAATTATAATCACACAGTTAATTGGGCCTTTTGTTCTTTGCCAGAAAAAACTAAGCTTTTACTTTACTCTCCCAGAACAGTTTCTCCCCCAATTCTCATTACATGTGTTGCCAATGAACGTCTCAATTAGCCTCCAAGTTAAGGATAACCTTTGCACTCTTTCACCTCAGCTGGATTTACACAACTTTTATACCCACCACATCCCTGTAGGTGTTCCTGATGTAAAGTTAATCTTCCATGGGTTAATGCATCCTTTCGGCAGAAATGAACTACAACCTCTGTAGAATTTTATTTCAAGGATAATAGATTTTTTTTTAGTCATACTAAAAACATATTTTATGAACTCTGCTTGTTACACATTCCCTGTACCACAATTTGACCCAAAAGAAAAAAATTAAGCTGCTAAACAGGGATAAAATAAACCCAGACAACACAGAATATCAGCAAAGATAGAACAGACATTGTTCGTATGTAATGTGAAGTGCACAACAAGTGAAAAAATAGGCAGAGCTGTAAGGTCGTTCCGTTCAAAGTTCAAAAAGGTACCATACTGACTTCAGATCAATTGTTTTTTTCTGTTACATAATGGGTGAACCAGAAAAAACCCAGTGCCACCACATTGATTCCAGTTTACTACAACTGGTGGTAGTAGAGTCACACACTTCAGTGTTTAATTAGCTTGTTCTTATGTTGGGAAACGGAGAGCAGTCCAAGGTAAACTACCTATTTGAAGTATAATTGTATCTTGACCCGAATGTGCATTGAAAGATGTTAATATCTCGAGATGTCATCACCAACAGAATCTCGTATCAGATCATGTTTTTCTGACTTAAGGTTGGGGTTAGGCTTGGTTAGGGTTTAGGGTTAACCTTTAAATATAAAAAAAATGGTTAAAAAATGGTAATCACCTATGTTTCTTTCTCCCTGATTACAGGACAACTGAAAGCCAGCCTGATGACCATTCTAATTTTACAAGATATAAAAAAAATGTACTTACCCTTTCTTTGTGTTGTAAAATCAAAGTGACAAGGCTTTGTATTAGCATGCATTAAGCCAAGTCAGGCAGACATGTATTTCATCCTTAAAAGGCCACAGTGATTGGGAATTAGACAGGCAAACATTTAATATGTCCTTACTCTCATGGCTTCAGGAGTCTAAATCTGTAGAAAGACCCGTGGCCTATGGTAGGCTCTTTGATCAGGCATGTGCTTAACTGGATGAGCCTGGGAGCCAGTGGTGGACACTCAGAAGGAACTAATTACCCTCTAAAAACACACTTCTGATGGTGTGTGCGAGTGCATCGAGAAGAGATACAAAGGGAGCGAGTGGGGAGAGGAGATAGGAGGGAAAAAATTGACAGTAAGAACAGGCAGAGAAGAGCAAGATAGCATTTCCCTACTTGGGATTTTTCACTTTGGCATGCTGAATGACGCACAATGTTCCACAATATTTACAACATTTGCAGTGAGGATCCCATGAAGCATGTTGTGATTAACCTACAGTGTGTGTCCTGTCATCCAGCTGTGTGTGTATTTCTATGCATTTTTTAAAGTAAACATAATTTTTCAAGTAGAGAAATACTGATTTACAGGTATATTTACATTTTTAAACCATCTGGCAGAAAGCAAGTGCATTTGAAATCAGTAAGGAAACCGACACAAAGCTGTAACACCACAGAAATCAACACATTCGTAAAGGGCACACACTTTGACCTTGTGCTCATTTGTGAAAATCGGAAGTGCCTCTATGCACCTTTTGAGCACATCGAGTCACACGTTTCCTTTTTTGGAAAAACTAATGGTCATCTTCAGCTTGAACAATTTTAGGATGTCAGGTATGATGTCTTGTGACAGCCTATTACTGTCTCCTGTTGCGATTGTTACAGTCTCTGACAGGGAGGTAGTGTTGAAGGATGCTGAAACTCTGTTTGGCCTGTCTAGGTGCAATAACATGTCCCTTGACAGCTGAAAACCTTTTGTTTGCTTTCCCTTGGAAAGGCCTCCTGACACTCAACCACTTTGAAGAGGTACATTCAGAATAAAGGATCACCAAAAAAAGCTGGAATCATAGAGGCTCAAACCTCTTTGGTAAGTATTCATGTACAATTGCAAAACAAGGCTTGTTTTTATTGTGGTGCATGTTCATATGCTGAGTAAATGCTCGAATAAATCAGTGTGTGAATACACACTCTCACGTGGTGCAATCGGACAGTTTCATCTGAGGTGGACATTTTTATAGTTCATA